TCGTATCACATAATAGTGGAGTAAACACTACTTACAATCTAATTAATTGTTTTTTTTTGTACAATACAATGTCTAAATGCGTTTCATACTAATTGAAAATGTATGGGTTGTTTTTTTTTAGAGAAAAGGCAAAGGTATTACAGATATTGAGTTTACTAAACATAGACAATTGGTGTTGCAATATAAATCAGAATTTTTTATTTAATGAATATAATTTGAATGTTAAATATTTTTTTAAATATCCATTCCAAGGAGTTTCTTATCAAAAAGGAACTCTCCGAGTGAGGAGTGGCGGTCGAGCATCTTCTTGAGTGTAGACGCTTTGCCCGCGAGGTCTCTCTGGCCCTTGTATTGTTCTTCCAAGAATTCACCAGTCAGGTAGTCCACGAGCTATTGTAATAAAATTATATTAAAGTTTTGTAATATAACTAAGTACGCAGTTTAGTTTTTTAAATTTTTGTAATATCTTGGTGAAAAATGTTCTTTCCTTTTACTTACTATCGCTATAAAACATTAAATAAACTATGGTTTAAAATACGAGATTGTCTATGGTTAACTTACATGGTAGTCGTTGAACTTAGGATCGGACTCGCAAGCGATGATGACAGACCGAATGCTCTTCGTCACTTCGGTTTCCATTTTCAGAGCGTGCTCAAGCGCGTCCACGCCGCTCTCCCAAGATTTACGTTCAGGGGCCTGCGAAATAAAAATTATACCTGGCTACAAATAAGCTGTAAAAGCACGATTCTCTCTCCACAGACTACTGATCCTTAAAAAAAACAATTCCGTGACAACTAGCTACCATAGTATACATATAAAAAAAGTTTACAAAAAATCTATATGAAATTATAACTATATCAACTTTTACAAGTTATCGCTAACATTTTTAATGTCCTTGATAGTTTTAACATAAAAAAAACACGTGTAAATCCAAGGTTTTGATAAGTCTTAAAATTCATTGTTTATTTTCATACTAGTCCGTGCGAAATTAAAAAAAAAAATAGTAGTCTATGTATTCTTCCAGACTATGTTCAATATTTATGCCAAATTACTTCGAGATCCGTGCAGCCGTTCTGGAGATACCTACTAACAAACATCCATCTAAACATTTATAATATTAGTAAGATTAACTTACCCTAATCTGTATCAACGAAGTGACATCAGTTTCCAGTTCACCTCTCATAAGCAAATAATCAATTAACTTCATCGCATGCT